ATTCAGAACCTCAGGTCTCTCTGAGGGCAGGTTGCTGTCTCCTGTGTGGAAAATGGATTTCGGGCTTGGTGCATCAGGAAAGCAGGTGTGGTGTCAGTATCATCACCCCTAGGAGCTGTGCTGGAGGAGGGGCTCCTAGCTCATTCTGCTGATGCAAAGAGTTCTGTACCATCCTCTACTCTCCCACACCATGCTGTACTATTCAGGACTGTGTGTGAGCAGGCACAGCTGGGGAGAACTAGCTGACAGCATTTCTACACTTTCTTTTCTGAAATGTTCACATCTTAAGGAATGTTTTCTAATAAAATAACACAGTACCAGGTATTAGCTATATTTAGCTTCCTTTCAATATATGCATAAAATAAAAATGCAGACATCTGGCAATGACAGCCGCAGTGTGCACTCAGCACGGTGAGGACACAGCTGGGGGAGAACACTCCTGTCTTCAGCCACCTCTCCTGATCCTCCACAGAGACACCGTCAGTGCGTGCCCTGGATGCATCCAAATGTGTCCTCTTCCTGATCAATACCCTGGGAAAGAAGGAGATGTCTTCCAGCTCCTTCTGGGGAATTTCGTCCATAGGCAAAGTAAGGCTTTTCCAGTGGTTTGAAGAATGATCCATGAGAATGGTACTTCCTGATATGATCCCTACTTTGTGGCATCGTCTGTCCTGCCTTTTCTTACACACATCCCTGACAAACACTCAACTTATGTTGTCCACCAACCCCAACTTACCAATGATGAGGAAGCTGGCAGATCAGTGTTCTAATATTATATGTCCATACTTCTATCAGCTACAGTTATATTTTTAAATCTGAGTTAAAGCACAGCACACACAAAACTTGAAAGCATGCGAGGACCACAGAAGTAAAAGGTAAGCATATTTTGGTTACACAGAATATTTTGAAATCTATACATATTCTACATGCACTTTAAGTTTTAAAGACCTTTCATATATATGTAGTTCAATTTTTTTTTTTATTTGGGCTTCTGCCTCCTGGATGAAGCTCCTGTCTTTTTGCTTTGGCTTGGCCTAGCACTAACCACTGTGGCCATCTGAGGAGTGAACCAGCAGATGGAAGATCTCTCTCTCTCTGTTTCTGCCTCTGTCTCTAACTCTGACTTTCTTTTATTTTCTTTCAAAATTTTATTTAATGAATATAAATTTCCAAAGTACAGCTTATGGATTACAATGGCTTCCCCCCCAATAACGTCCCTCCACCCGCTACTCTCCCCTTTCCCACTCCCTCTCCCCTTCCATTCACATCAAGATTCATTTTTGATTCTCTTTATATACAAAAGATCAGTTTAGCATACATTAAGTAAATATTTCAACAGTTTGCTCCCACACAGAAACAAAGTGAAAAATACTGTTTGAGTACTAGTTATAGCATTAAATCTCAATGTACAGCACACTAAGGACAAAGATCCTAATTGAGGAGTAAGTGCACAGTGACTCCTGTTGTTGACTTAACAAATTGACACTCTTGTTTATGGCATCAGTAATCACCCTAGGCTCTTGTCATGAGCTGCCAAGGCTATGGAAGCCCCCTGAGTTCACTGACTCTGATCATATATAGACAAGGCCATGGTCAAAGTGGAAGTTCTCTCTTCCATTCAGAGAAAGGTACCTCCTTCTTTGATGACCCATTCTTTCCACTGGGATCTCACTCGTGGAGATCTTTCATTTAGGTTTTTTTTTCCCCCAGAGTGTCTTGGCTTCCCATGCCTGAAATACTCTCATGGGCTTTTCAGCCAGATCCGCATGCCTTAAGGGCTGATTCTGAGGCCAGAGTGTTGTTTAGGACATCTGCCATTCTATGGGTCTGCTGTGTATCTCACTTCCCATGTTGGATCATTCTCTCCCTTTTTGATTCTATCAGCTAGTATTTGCAGACACTATTCTTGTTTATGTGTTCCCTTTGGTTCTTAGTCCTATCATGATCAATTGTGAACAGAAATTGATCACTGGGACTAGTGAGATGGAATTGGTACATGCCACCTCGATGGGATTGAATTCGAATCCCCTGGTATGTTTCTAACTCTACCGTTTGAGGTAAGTCAGCTTGAGCATGTCCCGAATTGCACATCTCTTCCCTCTCTTATTCCCACTATTACATTTAACAGCAATCACTTTTCAGTTAAGTTTCAGCACTTAATAAGAATTGTGTATTGATTACAGTATTCAAGCAAAAGTATTAAGTAGAACAAACCAAAAAAATACTAAGAGGGATCACATATCAAGTTGCTCATCAACAGTCAGGGAGAGGGCTGATCAAGTCACTGTTTCTCATAGTGTTCATTTCTTTTTGGTGCTCAGTTAGTTGTCACCTATCAAGGAGAACAAGTGGTATTTGTCCCTTTGGGATTGGCTTATTTCACTCAGCATAATGTTTTCCAAATTCCTAACAGGGATCACTTTTCAGTTAAAATTTAAACACCTAAGAATAATTGCGTGTTAATTACAGAGTTCAACCAATAGTACTAGAACAAAAAAAAATACTAAAATGGATAAAGTATTACATTGTACATCAACCATCAGGACAAGAGCTGATCAAGTCACTGTTTCTCATAGTGTCCATTTCACTTCAACAAGTTTCCCCTTTGGTGCTCAGTTAGTTGTCGCCGATCAGGGAGAACATATGATATTTGTCCCTTTGGGACTGGCTCAATTCACTCAGCATGATGTTTTCCAAATTCCCCCATCTTGTTGCAAATGACCGGATTTCGTTGTTTTTGACTGCTGTATAGTATTCTATAGAGTACATGTCGCATAATTCCTTTACCAGTCTACTGTTGATGGGCATTTGGGTTGGTTCCAGGTCTTAGCTATTGTGAATTGAGCTGCAATAAAAATTAATGTGCAGACAGCTTGTTTGTTTGCCAATTTCATTTCCTTTGGGTAAATTCCAAGGAGTGGGATGGCTGGGTTGAATGGTAGGGTTATATTCAGATTTCTGAGGAATCTCCAGACTGACTTCCATAGTGGCTTAACCAATTTGCATTCCCACCAACAGTGGGTTAGCATCCCTTTTTCCCCACATCCTCTCCAGCATCTATTGTTGGTAGATTTCTGTATGTGAGCCATTCTAACCGGGGTGAGGTGAAACCTCATTGTGCTTTTGATTTGCATTTCCCCGATTGCTAGTGATCTTGAACATTTTTTCATGTGCCTGTTGGCCATTTTGATTTCCTCTTTTGAAGATTTTAGACATTTTCACCTATTTCCAATAACTTAAGGGAAATCCTCAAATATTTCAACAAATAAGAAAATAGAAGTATAGAACTTTGATGGGTTTTGAAAGATTAATGCATTTACTTGAAAGGAAGGGTTACAGAGGGATGGAGAGAAAAAGGAGTTTTTCTTTTCCTAGTAATTTTATGCTATTTTCTAAAGCATTACCTTAAATTATTTTTTATTAAATGTTATTATTTTAAAACACTATCAGAATATTTTGCCTAGCTTAGGTGAAATAGATACACAGTAAACAGTTGTGTTTTTTTATATACAGGAAAGACACAAAAGACTATTTAGAGCTGTGTCCCATCATCATTTCTGTAGAAAAGAATCATCCGTCTACATAGACTGTGAACATATCCACTGTGGTTTCTATGAGGTAGGAATGGAGCAGGAAGGAACCATGGAACAGAAGGTGTTCAGACCCTGCTCCTCCAGGCAAGGACAGAGCAGGCAAATTAGAGAACAACCACTATAACCCAAAAGGTGCACTTATGAAATTTGTATTTATTAAATAAAAGCTTTCTTTTTTTTATTTTTGACAGGCAGAGTGGACAGTGAGAGAGAGAGACAGAGAGAAAGGTCTTCCTTTGCCGTTGGTTCACCCTCCAATGGCCGGCGCACCGCGCTGATCCGATGGCAGGAGCCAGGAGCCAGGTGCTTTTCCTGGTCTCCCATGGGGTGCAGGGCCCAAGCACCTGGGCCATCCTCCACTGCACTCCCTGGCCACAGCAGAGGGCTGGCCTGGAAGAGGGGCAACCGGGACAGAATCCGGCGCCCCGACCGGGACTAGAACCCAGTGTGCCGGCGCCACTAGGCGGAGGATTAGCCTAGTGAGCCGCGGCGCCGGCCTTAAATAAAAGCTTTCTATTAAAAAATATGAGGGGACAGCGCTCTCTCAAGGTGAGAGGAGGAGACCATCACAGGGACAGCAGTGCCCGCAGTTTCTGCAGAGACTATTGTTACCCACACGTGTTCACACATGTATGTAATAGAACCTACACCTGTTCACACACATATGTAACAGGACCTGCACCTGTTCACACATGTATGTAACAGGACCTATACCTGTTCACACACATGTAACAGGACCTGCACCTGTTCACACACATATGTAACACCCTTGCACACACAGCATCTCTAGTAAGTGACAAGCTTACCCATACAGAGCATCACATATTGAGTGAATGTCAGGTGATACAATTAAATTCAGAGCATACACTAACTCACATTTATGTTAACTCTCAAGTGTTAAGAAAATTTCTCTGGAAATAACTGAATATAAACCTAACAGAGACGTAAGACAGTTCCATGCATAGACAGACCCTTGCCACTTACTGCATATGAATGTCTCATTCCTAGTTTCCTAAAATTCTTATGAGAGTTCATTCCTACTGTGGATCCAGAACTTTATGAGGATTCTGCAGATGCAAAGGGAAGGAACTCACTGCCCTTCAGGTGAAAAACTAAAAGTAAGGTAAAAATCATGAAACAACCTTTAATCTAGTGACCACTTTATTGTCCAGGTCCTGTGGGAGTCCAGAAAGGGCTGTATGCTCCAATCATGATGGGCAGGTGTGCAGCTAGGAACACAGTGGCTTCCAAGATAGTCTGAGGTAGACTGAAGTATTCCCATGTGAAAAAGGATGTACAGAGATTAATCCAGATATCTCCATGAAATGTAGCTGTGGTCACAACTGATAAATGAAGTAATACTCGAGATTAACCATTTTTTTCTTACTTTTTCAACAGACTTACTCTATGTTTTTCCCCTTTAAAAATGAGCAAAAAGATTTATTTTCCAGTTTTATTGCTGTAAGGAATGTTTTTTATCCTGAAGTCAGCATCGGGATCATAGCCAACGCCTTCCTTCTCTTCCAAATCCTCTCGTTCTTTCTCAAGCACAGGCCCAGGCCCACCGACCTGACCATTGGGCACCTGGCCCTCATCCACCTGCTGATGCTGATCACTGTGGGGGTCATAGCCACAGACATTTTTGAGTCTCAGGAGGTATGGGATGACATCACGTGTAAAGCTGTCATCTACTCGTACCAGGTGACACGGAGCCTCTCCCTGAGCACCACCTGCCTGCTGAGTGTCCTCCAGGCCATCACCCTCAGCCCCAGGAGCTCCTGGTTGGCAAAGTTCAAGCACACATCCTCACAGCACAGCATGTGTGGGTTTCTCTTCCTATGGGTCTTCAATTTGTCCATCAGTGCTCGTTTCTTAATTTCTACTGTTGCCACCAAAAATTGTACATCCCACAGTCTTATGTTTGTCACTAAATCCTGCTCTCTTCTGCCCCTGAGCTACTTACCCAGGTACACATTTTCCATATTGTGGATCTTCAGGGATGTCTCCCTTGTAGGGCTCATGGCCATCTCAAGTGGGTACATGGTGACTCTCCTGTGCAGGCACAAGAGGCAGTCCCAGCACCTTCACAGCACTAGGATTTCTCCAAGAGCCTCCCCAGAGCACAGGGCCACCCAGACCATCCTGCTGCTGATGAGCGTCTTTGTGTTCCTGTACTTGACAGACTGCCTTGTGTTCTCATTCTCAGGGCTGTGGTGGAAAAATGACCCAGTTCACGTCTGTGTCCAGTTGTTAGTGGGCAATAGCTATGCCACCATTAGTCCTTTGTTGTTCATCAGTAGTGAAAAACGAATGATCAAGCTTTTCAAATTCATGTGGGAGAAGGACAGTGTGTGTTTGTTCAGGAATAAATAACGTGTCTTTACCTGAGCAAATACTTTGACTTCTAAGTGCTTCATGATTGCTTATAGAACGTGCTCTTCTAGGTTCGCTGAAATATAGAAATAAGGGATATTCGAGATGGTGGAATGGGGAAGCTACATTGTCCTCAGCCACAGAAAGTTCCCAGAAAAGCAGAGGAAGGACCACATCCTCAGGGGACTCATTCAGAGAAGCTTCCAGTGGCGGATGCACAGAACAGAGAATCCATGGAGCAGTGAGGAGAGAGGATGGACACGTGGCCGCCAGCCACCGCTGCATTTGTCAGTGGCTCATGACTGGGGCTTCCATCTTCACAGGGCAGCAGGGTCAGAGGAGGTTGCCTGGGCCCCTGCCACTGGCAGCTGTATTGAGGAAGAATTCCAGCTCTCCCACTGGATCCAAGTCTGGCCTTGGGAGCTGCAGGGGATGGCTGACTACTTTGCTCTGTGAAACGAGGCCATGTTGGCTCTCTCCACTCCTCCACCAAAGAACCAGACACAATTTGCCTAGGTGGAGCTGCAGGTGAGCTCAGTTAACAGCAGGCAGTTCCACCTCTGCTGGAGCCTGCCAGGGCCTGGGGCAGGGCAACTTGCAGGGTGGAGACTGGACCTGCACCCTGTCACTGTGGAGTTGGTGCTATTCACCATGGGGTGCAGAAGAAGGTGGGGTGTAGCTGAGTTCCAGTGCACCAAGCAGTCTGTGGAGTCTCAGACCCCACTGCTCTCTGGGGACAGATCCTGCAGGGAGTTGGGAGACACACACCCCCCCGTGAAGTGAGTCAGGGCCCTGTCTGGCCACGTGCATGGGTGGGGGAGGGCACTAGCACCGTGAACTCACTCTAGGCCTTCAATCAGCTGGCTCACCCTGTCAGAGAAAGCTGCCACTGTCCACACACTAGGAGCCTCCACCATCCCCTGCCCCACTGACTACCAGAGGCTCTGCAGCACAGCCAGTGTGGGTGTAAATCTGGACTCTTGCCCCACCCACAAACAGTGGCCAGAGCACCCTGGTCCTTCTCAGCACAAATACCTGGAACTCAAGTGTAAGCCTTAGACACTCCTCCAAGTCCTTGAGGCACATTTCCTGGGAATAAATATTTGACCAAAAAATAAATACACAAACAAAAATAAACCAAAACACCCATTCCCCAGAGCAGTAACAAGAGATCCCCCAGATATGAAAAAGTCAATGCAGATGCACAAAAGCATGATCAGGGAAGGCGCACGTGTCCTCTGTATGAACTCATCTGCAATGTGAAGAATGGGAGACAGGCCAGCGCTACGGTGTTGCAGGTAAAGCTGTCACCTGTAGTTTAGGCATCCCTTATGGGCACCAGTTCTAGTCCTGGCTGCTCTACTTCCAGTCCAGCTCTGTGCTATGACTTGGGAAATCAGTAGAAGATAGCTCAAGTCCTTGGGCCCCTGCATTCACATGGGAGACCCAGAAGAAGCTCCTGGTGTCAGATCAGCTCAGCTCCAGCCATTGCTCTCAATTGGGGAGTGAACCAGTGGATGGAAGGCCACACTTTTTACCTCTGCCTCTCCTTTTCTATCTGTGTAACTCTTTCAAATAAATAAATCTTTAAAAAAAGAAGGGGAGAATAAAAATGCCTGGAAAGGAATTCAAAAGAGTGTAAGGTTACTCAAAAACTTACAGAAACAGTGGGGTCAAATTAGGAAGTCAGTATGTGCCATTGTCAAGAATCTGAAGACATGTTAAAAATGGAAATATTACACAAAGTATTAAAAATACGTGTATTAAAGAGAATCGAAAATTAATCTTGATGTGAATGGAAGGGGAGAGGGAGTGGGAAAGAGGAGGGTTGCAGGTGGGAGGGACGTTATGGGGGGGAAGCCATTGTAATCCATAAGCTGTACTTTGGAAATTTATATTCATTAAATAAAAGTTTAAAAAAACAAAACAAAACAAAACAAATATGTTTAAAGCCATGACAACAGATTTGGTGAGGCAAAATACAAAGTATCTGACCTTGAAGGCAGGTCTTTGAATTCTCTCTGGCTAAAGCAAAGGAGAAGGAAGAAAGGAAGGTGGGGGGGAGAGGAGAGAAAAAGCTGAAGACAATTGGAGGAGGGAGAAAGGGAGAGGAGGGGGCAGGAGGAAAAAGAGGGGAGGTGGAGGAGGGGGAGGGAGAAGAGGGGGAAGAGGGTGAGGAGGGGAGGGAGGAGGATGAGGAGGGCAAGAGGATGATGAGGAGGGAGAGGAGCAGGATGAGATGGAGGAGAGAAGGAAGAGAAATTACAAAGACTGAAAACAGTGTTAAAGTCTATGGGATACCATTAAACTACCAAATAGTCATAACTCTTAAGAGTTCCAAGATGATGTAAAATTCTTCCACGTTCATGGATTGGGAGAATTAACACTATCACAATGCCCACACAACCCAAAGCAATTTGTAGATTCAATGTGATGCCAATCAAAATACTTAGGATATTCTCTACAGAACTACAAAAAATAATCCAAAAATTCACCTGGAAGCACAAAGGATCCAAAGTCACCAAAGCAGTCTTAATCAATAAAAACAAAGCTTGGGGCTGGTGTTGTGGCACAGCAGGTTAAGTCTACATGCATTGCTGGCACCACATATGGGCTCCAGTTTTTGTCCTGACTGCTCCACTTGCAATCTAGTTCACTGACAATAGCCTTGGAAAAACAGAAGATAGACAAAATGTTTGCAATGTGTGAATCCAATAAAGTATATATATCTAGAATGTAGAAGGAGTTCAATAAAACTAAAAAAGCCAATCAGTTAAGAAATGGGCAAGGGGCCTATGCTGTGGTACAGTGGGTACAGCCACTGCCTGCAGTGCCAGCATCCCATATGGGTGCTGGTTCATGTTCACACTGCTCCACTTCCAATCCACCTCTCTGCTATGGCCTGGGAAAGGAAGAATACATGGTCCAAGTGCTTGAACCCCTGCACCCACGTGGGAGATCCAGAAGAAGCTCCTGGTTCCCGGCTTTGGATTGGCTCAGCTCCCACCAATGCAGCCATTTGCAGAGTGAACCAGCACATGAAAGACCTCTTTATCTCCCACTGCCTCTTCCTCTCTGTAACTCTTTCAAATTAATAAATTAAAAAAAAGAAATGGGCAAATGATATTTGTCTTTTTTTCAAAAGACAAAATGCAAATGTGCAACAGACACAAGGAAAAATGATCAGGATCACTAGATGTAAGAAAAAGGCAAATTAAAACACAATGAAGGGTCACCTCATCCCAGTCAGAATGGTTACCATGTAAAAATGAAAAAATAATAAATTCTAGTGATTCTGTGGAGAGAAAGATGCCCTAATACACAGCTGGGAAGAATGCAAAGTGGTATAAGCATTATGGCAGGCGCTATGGAGATTCCTCAGAAAACTAACAACACATCTGCCATAAAACACTGCAGTGCAGTCTCACCCAAAGGAAATAAAATCAGTGTATCAAATTACCTGCACTCCCATATTAGTAGCCACTCAATTCACAATACCTAAACAACCCACATAGCCATCAGCTGCAGATCAGCTAATGACCATATGACATATACTCACATGGAATACTACTCAGCCATTAAAATGCAATTACGATATTTGCAACAAAAGGATGCAACTGGAGAACATTATGATAAGTGGAGTAATCAACTCAAAAAGAAAATGCACAACTCAGGACCCCAGCAGCTGAGAGCCTCTATACCACCTTTGGAGTGTGAGGCAAGACCACACTGCAGTAGCCCAAGACAGTGGTGATAAAGCTACAGGAGAGCCTGGAGTGAATCTGGCTTGGAGTTCTGTGGGGATAGTTTATCTGACAAACTAAGGGAAAAGATGGGGGGCAAACCTCCCTCTCTCTATTCCCATTGCATTGGCATCCTTTAACAAGCCAACAAGGAGGGGGCACCATTTTCGACATATAGAACAGATGCACTAGCTCATGTCCATGTCCAGCAATCAGCTAAGTGCAGACTCCTTACTCTGATAGGGAGAACTGACCGGGGAATGGGTGCTCGGGACTTTGGGAGGCTTGTGTGCCCAAACTGTGAAAATCTGAGGCTGTGTGGGAGGGCCCAGGGTGTGGTTAGCACTTTGAGCAGTCACTGTGGAAGACTCCACACACTCAACCCACCCTGGTTCCCTGGTAAGGGACATCACTGGGGAATTTGCTCACATTGAGGACTGCACAGATCCCTGTGATTGGTCCTCATGGAAGTGCAGATGAACATTATACCTGCTGGGGCTAGTGCCCAGGCACTGATCTCCTGTGAAGAGAGGAAGAGTGATCCGAGTCTACACCAACAGAATAGAAAAAAACCTAGCCTCTGATTAAAACAAGATTTACTATACCAAACCTGGTTGTCACCTTATACACTCCCTTCACCCTGGAGCACGGAACAAAGCTCCCTGGCCACACCCACCACACACCTCTAGGTATTCACTGAAAATTAGACTCTCCGCTAATCCACAGAGGCATGCTCCAAAGATGAAAGCAGCCACATCGGAAAAAAAAAAAAAAAACCAAGAAACCAGAGTATCCCCACAAATGCCGAGTAATAAATGCACCAATTCAAGAAACAAGAGTAAGGATCTAAGGATCACAAAAATTACCACACTTCAATACAAGATTATGAAGATGCAGAGGTTGAAGAAATGTCAGAATAGGAATACAAAAAGTCGATCATAGGATTACTTAGACTACTTATCAATCGTCACCTAAATGTAAATGGCCTCAACTCTCCAGTGTAAAGACACCGACTAGCAGAACGGATTAAAAAAAAAAACTCATCAATTTGGTGCCTAAAAGAAACACATCTCATCAACAGAGAAGTATGCAGGCTTAAAGTGAAAGGATGGAAAAAAGATATTCCAGGCCAAGGGAAACCAAAAAGAGCTGGTAGAGCCATCCTATTATCAGACAAAATACACTTTAACTGAAGAACTGTTAAAAGAGACAAAGAAGGGCACTATGTAGTGACTAAGGGATTAATTAAACAAGAAG